TATGTTTAAATCAAGATCACACATTTTTTTCTCTCTGCACTTTAAATATGTGCAGTTTATTTCCTGTCAGTAATAGTTCAATAAGGCTTTAAAAAAAGAAATGTTGATGTTTGATGAAAAGAATTTTCAAGTGAGTTTAGTCTGTCGTTTAGTCAGAACTCCAATCATTCTCTTTCCACAGAGCAAAATTGAAATTTTAAGTATTTACTAGAGGTTTGAGCGCCCTGAAATATTAACGTTTTGGGGACCAGCAGATGGTTACATCACTGGATTCTCACATAGCGGACTGTGGTTTGAGTCCTGGACCCGGTGGCTTAAATCTCCCATCAGGTGCATGCGCTCGCGTGCCTAAAATCATGAACGGAGAGTGGAAAAGAAGGGATTGCAGCACGGTCATCACCCCCTAGGGGGGATTTCTTGCTTTCTGTCTCTCTGTCTCTGGCAGGCGCATGCCCCTATAGCAAAAACCCATTTAAAAAATGAACTTTTTCAGAATGAAGAAAAATAGTAAGAGTGTTTATAAAAAGGAAAATATACACAAAGGTTTAGGGTGAGACCTGACATCGAACTTACCTGTTCTTAAATAAGTCACTTGACTTCTCTGAGTCTCAGATTCTTTATCTGTAAACCAGGAATAGTAACCACAAAGCACAGATCGATACCGATGAACAAAAACAGCATTTGCAAAGAAGCTTCTAGAAAGCCTCACGTAACACAGAAGGTCACGAACTGTTAGTTTCCTTTTCAAGTTTTGGCTATAGTGCATCATTTGCACTTGCTGGAGAGAGACACAGGGAGAGGGGAAGTGAGAAGTGACCTTCTGGAGCGATGGCCACACCGCAATCTCTTCTCCACCCTTCTTCCCTTGGGATTTTGGGCCACACACACACACGTGCCCTGTGTGATTTCTAAGTTGCCAGGTAGGAAACGCCAATCATGGAGTCAGCTCGGTGGGATCCAGCACCTTCACCCCCATACCACCTACTGACCTGTCAGTCTCCTTGTCTGCACTAAGGAACTAGAAGCCCTGGAAGGGTCGCCCTTTAGCACTCATGCACTCCACACCCCTCCTGCCTATGACACACAGAGCCCTCAGGAAGGGCTTATACAAAGCCCCAACTTCGAGGGTTAGCGGCCATGAATTACAAAGCGGGCCTGAGCCATCAGCTGTTCAGAGCAAAGTCATTTTATTGTAATGAAATTTTAAAAGGCAGTTACATTAGTTACACATATACACAACTGACTTAATAACGGTTAGTCATAGAGAACATTCAAGAAATACAAAGGATTTATCCACAGCACAGTTCACATCCATAGGAAGAAAGGTTAAAAGAGAAATGATTAAGTGCTTAAACTGTCCACTGAAGCCCGCTTGGGAAATCTTCCTTTCCCCTTCTTTTTAAGAAAACTGAATTTTGAGGTGAAGCAAGTTGCCCTACTCCTTCATCACCCGTGAAACGTTTTTCCTACTTTCTTTCTTTCTTAAGAGGTTTTTGGCCTTAGGCTGCTCATGCTCACTGGAGAGAGAAACACACAGACAGTGTGTTTCACCCAGGGGTGATGGCCACATTGCAATCCCTTCTCCTCCATTCTCCTCTCGGGATCTTGGGCACGCACGCACGCGCACTCCGTGTGTTTCCAGTCACCAGGTCTGGGACTAGAACTGCAGTTGGCCATGTGGGAGTCCAGCGACATAACCGCTATGCCGTTGTTGGTGGTGGTGGGGTTCTTCTACTTTCACAGTCAGCTCCATAAAGGCTCTGGCCAGTCCCTTGACCATACAACCAGCATTGGCCACCAACTCCGGGCATGCCCACATGCCTGCCAGTGCGAGGGCCTCTTCCACCTGCCCCAACCCCAGGCCGCCCAGGAAAAGCTGAGCTGCCAGTGACTCCTGGCTCCTGAGCACGTGGGATTCGGTGGAGACTGGGGACAGAGCGATCTAGTGACCAAACCCAGTGACCAAGAGGAAGAGGTTTCTGTTGATGAGCTATGGCCAGGGCTGTTCGGTACTGGCTTGTTCTTGTTTAGGTGACAGGTGGGCCCAGACGGGAGACAGGCCACTGTCCTAGAACTGTTCACTGCTGGCCCAGAAGGGAGGAGACTGTCTTTCATTCCCCAGGGCCTGCCTAGTCTCGTGGCTAAAGCTGGCAGGAGCACTGACATCTCTGGCATGTGGCTCGCCTGGGGAGCACACTGTCACTGTGGAACACGGGAGAGGCAAGCTCTTCGGTGTAAAGTTTCTTCAGCTACCAGAATCTCCTACCATTTGCACATTCGCTATCCACGAAGTAACCAAAGGCTTGAAGACGGAATGTTGGAAAGCAGAGGCACCTGTGGCTGTGTGTGATGGCGATCGCTCCCCAGAACCAACAGGAGAAAGAAAACTAGGGGAGAGTGACCAGGCAGAATGTTCTAGAACCACCCCTGGCCACTCTCGGTCACTGACTCCGCCTTGGCGGTGCCTCCACGTGGCTGCGGTTGTGTCTCTGCTGATGGCTCAGGAGGCCACCGCAGGGCCCTCTTCTGTGGGAAGCCTCTGCCTGCTCGGCCTAAGGAAAGCCTAGTGGTTCAGATGGCGTGTGAATGAGATGAGTCACAGAGCTGAGTCAAGTCCTCGGAGCCTGTCCCCTTCCTAACCCTGCTGTGACTCCGTCTCCACCTCCAGCTGGCATGGCCGAAGGCAAGGAGTTGGTACGTCCATGAGCATCCTGGCCTCCGAGGTTGGGCAGGGCTTGCATGGTGGGGGGTGTCCTTTTGTAAATCGGGATAAGTAAACTCTAGTGCTTAATGTCTTACTCCAGTTTGTCTCAACAATCTTCGGAGAGAGAATCTCTTGGGTGGGGTCTCCCAGACCTGGGTTCTTTTCCTCTATCTCCCTGGTCTACTTTCTCACCGGTCACATGATGGCTTTTTTGAATCACAACCAACAGCACAGCAGGGGACAGCCAATCAGAGGCCACTCAGCTTCCCTGCTGGTGCTCCTGGGACATGCTAATGGAGGAGGTTGGGCCCCGGGTCCTGGTGCTCCCAGAGTGTGTCTGACTCGTCACCTGTGCATCCTCATGGCTGCACTGGAAACCCCACTTAGCTGAGAATAGACAAAAGGTGGTTGGGAACAAGGATCCTTCCCTCCTCCTTTTGCATCCCTCTGAATCCCGCAGACCCAGAAATGGGGCAGGCTCACGGTCACGTGCTCACCTCGTGTGCATCTGAGAAAAGACCCCAACTTCCCTCTAAACTGCACAGGGTAAACACAAGCCCCCAGGGCTTCCAATCTTCCAAGCTAAAGGCCACAAAAAGTCTGTTTCATTCCACTGAGAAACGTTTCCTCAAGCCAAAAGCTATTTTTGTGCCTTTTTTTTTTTTTTTTGAGGGGAGGATATTTATGCCCATTTCCTGGGGCAAGCTCAAGGCTGCTGGAGGCAGCCCAGGGGCAAGGGACCTGTTAGGATGTGGAGTTTCAGCCCTCTGCTCTGTCCCCGGAAGCGGGAAAGCCTCCCGAAGGTGGAGCAAACACTGCCAGGCTCAGGATCCAATCACTACTGCACACCAAGGGAGGGAAAGCCATTCTAGGCGCTGCCAAGCCAGGGTGAAGAGCTGGGGTCACCCAGGGCGGCTACTGGCTGAAGGATTTCTACCGAGCAATGCTGGACCGTGCCAGGGGATGGGCCCAGCACCACCGGGCACTCAGCTCTCCCGGATGGCAGACAGGGCTGGGGCTCAACACAGCTTTCAAAGGGCCAGCCACGGTGCCGTGGCTCCTTCCTGCGTATGCTGGGCCCTCTCTGCTCTCAGGCAGCCGAGAACCAAAGCCACTCTAGCTGGCCCTGCAGAACCCACGCGCAGGGACACATGGGCTGCTTCTGGACATCTGCACAGCACGCAGCACCTGTGGGAGGGACTGCGAGAGGGACACAGCCTTCCCAGGTGGGTTCTGCCCCATGGCCCAGCTGCCCTGCGTAGTTTCTCTCCCTTTGGGGGTTAGTGGAGGGCTGGTGGGGCAGAGATGAGCCCTGAGCTGATGGTCATGATACCGAAGAACCCGAGAGAAGCTGACAGAGTCTTCCCTAGGCTCAGCGGACAGGAGGAGGCAGAGGAATGTGAAAACAGGGATGGGTTCTCAGAGCTGTCTCCCCAGTCTGCGTGAAGCCCAGCAAGCCAGCCCTTCCTTCTGCTCTGAGACTACACACGGGAGTCCAGGCTGAGCCGGAACCCGAGGCTGCTGCCCTCAGACCTGCACTCTGTCCCTCCCAGATGTCGCCGTCCCTCCGGCTGGGCTGAGGACGGAAAGCTCAGGTGCCCTGGAGAGCTCATCTCCACGTGTGGGGGTGACCCGAGCCCACCTCCATTGTCACTGAGCAGGACGCGGCTCAGGACGCGAGGAGGCCTCACGGTGCACCTTCCTGCAGGCACCGGGGGAGGGGGCAAGCTCTTACCAGCAAGCTAGGACACTGACCTACGTGTGGCCAGGAGCAGAGCGAGAAGGCTGAGCACCCCACGGGGGCTCCCACAGGCAGAAGGGCTGGTTCCTCTAGGTGGGGCTCACATCTGCAGAAAGGGCTTGGACCAAAGAACCGACCTATGCACGTGAGCAGGTCCCCAGCCGGGACCCCTGACACCACCGAGGTCGCCACCCACCGGGTCAGGGTGCTGCCACCCTGGGACGGGGCTGCCCTGTCCAGGCCGCACACTCACTACACACTCCAGATTCTACACGCTCACTCTGGCCACACACGACAGACACGAGGTACAACACTCCCAGGAGCACAGAGTGTTCACGGCACACTGCACGAAGCACACGCGTGTCAGCATGATGGGTGCGCAGGCGGGGTGGGGGGCCAAGGGGCACCCCTGCGGGGCGCCGAGCTCCTCGGCTCCAGCTGGCAGAACAAGGGCCCAGAGTCCCCAAGCCCATCCACCCAGCGGAGGGGAGAAGCAGGGCGCGGCCTGGCAGGGGCAGCCCGGCAGCCCGCAGTGCCACTCGGTCACTCCAGGCGTCGGCTGCCCGTCTCGTGGGCGGGTGTCCACTGTCTATTTGATTATTCACACCGGATGTAAGGACCCAACGGGGCCCCCTCCTGGGCACACGCAGACAAAACACAAGACAGACAAGGGGTCCTCAAACGTCTACCAGGGCGGCTGCGGGAGAGGGCTGAGCAGCGCTGTCGGGGGGGCGCGGAGGTGAGATGGCTTCCGGCGGGGGGGTCCCACGCAGGGCAAGCAGGGCCAGGGCGGCCCCGCTCACACGGGTGTGAACAGCAGGAGTGGCACTGGACGGCAGGAGCCTCACTCCGCCCACGGCTACTCAGAAAACGGCGGGAACATGCCCAGGTCGGCAAAGTCTTCGATGTTATAGTTGCCAGTCCCCTGGGTGGGGTCTCCTGGCATGGGCTGCATGTCCTGCAGGAGAGAAGAAGAGAAGGCCACTGGGAGCCATTTGCCCACGCACCGGCCATGTCCCAGGAACCCAACCTGCCACTTGTCTCTCCAACAGGGCGGCCCAGGAATGCGCCCCACCCCAGCCTAGCCTCTGAGGGGTGCTCTGCAGGGAGCCTCGAACCTCTAGATCCTGGGAAACCGTTCTCCCCAGGGAACTGCCGTGTCCTCAGGTCAGGATACAACCTCTGTCCATCTAAAGCCGGCCTGGGGCCCAGGGTAAACAAGAGCCTGTTCTTGGGAGCACCCAGCCTCACACCTAGCAAGGTGCATACACACACTCACACACACACACACGGCAATTGGTGCAGAGCAGAACCAGGGGCCTGTGCGTGGAGACCTGAGTGACCTGTCCCTGGTGGGTGTACTGTGGCAAGAAAAATCCCCAAGTAGCCTGACTTCAGTTTGCTCAAGTCCTTCCACCTCTCTGGGCCTCGGACTACTCTTCTGGAGAATGGGAATAGCCATTTCACCTCCTTTGGCAGATTCCCCAGCACGTGTGCTGGCGAGGCCCTGGCCCTCTGTGAAAACAGAACTCTGTGGACAAATAAGATTGTGTAACAAGGTGTACTTGGTGCATCTCCTAGAACGCCAAAGCCACAGTCCTCATTGGGACAATCAAGACTCTGATACGTCAATAAAGACACTGAGTGACTATTTCAGCGGTATTGCCTCAGCTTATTTGACCAAGAATTCTTTTCTGCATCATGACCATGAAGATCCCCTTCAGTAGATTTGCCTTAAGAGGCTCCAGCTCCGGTGAGGCCCAAGGCGGGCAAGGGCTGGGTCTCCCAGGAGGAGGAAGGAGGTGCAGTTGTGGTGGGTTGGGGAGGCAGCCTAGGCCTGTGTGAGGCGCCGCCCCCAGGAGCCCTGAGTGACAGCTGGGTTCTAGACCTCTGAATGGGAAGAGGCTGCCTGACCTGGTGAAAACGGAGCTTGGTGTGCGGCTGGGGGTAAACGGAGACGGACCCTTGAACAGGAGGGACTGGGATCCCAGGAGCCTTAGGACCCCCACTCTGGGCTCCTGCCTCATCCTCCTGGCTTGGCAGCAGGCCTGGGGCTCTGGGCCCAGCAGAGACCGCCTGGCTCCTGTCACAGCCCTGGCAGGAGTGGCTGGGCACTTGGCAGGAGGGAATTAACAGGCTCCTACACCAGGTGGAGGCTTCCAGTGAGAGCATTTCTGGCTGGAAGTGCAGCCAGGAGGCCCCAAAGGGGCAGAGAGCCCTGCCCTGTGGGGCCACCATGTGATCCCACATCTGGGTCGGGTCAGTCTTGGGCTCTCGGGACGGGCCAGACACAGATAATGGGAAGTGGCCAGCAGCCCAGGCATCCCAGCCAGGGGTACCCCAAGCTTAGACAGAGGGAAGAGCTGGGTCAGGGCAGTGCTGGCCATAGGGCGAGGGCCTGGGTGGCACGTCCTCCCTGTCCTGGGGTTGCAGTGCTGAGGAGGAAGGTCAGGCAGTGGGAGGCAACCGAGGCCCGGGGAGCCTGTGCTCTTAGGAGAGGCCATGGCCCCATACTGGGCAGGCCCCCTTTAGTCTTGGGCTCTGTGTACCCCCAACCCCCATACCAGGTAGCTCCAGAGTTTGGGGCAGGGGAGGGTCTCCACAGGGGGCACCCCCTTCTCTGTACCTCAGCTCCAAGGCTGCAGGCTCCTTGACTTTGTCAAGTGACCCCAAACTCTCTGGCTGGGTAGGGCGGACCTACGCCTAGATCCCCTCTAGCCCCTAGCCGGGCCAGAACTCACGATGGCTACCGGGCAGGCAGTGGTGCGGCCAAGACCGAGGGGGAAAGGAAGCAGAGAGAAGGCGCCGGTACCTACGAGAAGGCGGTGCTGGCTCGATTTACCTGGAACACTTCAGTCTGACCGGGCTGCTGGTGGGAGTGCTGCTCACCGCTCTGCTGGCCATGGTGCTGGCTCTGCCACTGCGACCAGACCTCCGAGGGCCGCCCCTGGAACTGCCCGCTGCTCTGTCCACTTTCAGCTGAAAGACCCGACGCACAGGACACTTCCTTTAAAGGCCACCCCGCGGCTCTGCGAGACCTGGGCCCCGCTGCTGCGCCAAGGGGTCCCCGTCTCTGGACAGCAGGTTCCACTCGGAGCTGGCTGTGTGCGTGAGCTGCCCGGCCTTTCTCTCCCACTGGTGCAAGTGAAGCAGAGAGTACAGGAGACTGGGCCCTCTGCAGTGCAGTGCAGGTGTTCGCCCAAGACGGGGCTCTCCCCAGAGTCACCTGCCGTAAACCTCGGAGACCTCCATGCCCTCTGCAGCTGCTCATGGAGGCTTTGTGGGGGAGCCTGGGGACCAGGGGCATGTCTGTCGGACCAGAATGTGGGCCGGGTGGCCTCTCCTGAGCGGCAGGTGAGTCCTGCATCCCCACACCTCCCCTTTAGTCTACACGCTGTTCTGAAGGCATCCAGGCTTGCTAGAGAGGTCCCCAAGCCTACTCCTGAGGGCTGCCACCTCCCTCCCTGCTGTGAGGTGCACGAGGCCCCCTACGGCGCCAGGCCCACGCTCTCCGCTGTCCAGCTCACTGGCCCCGTGTTTCTTAGCACTGGCTTGTTTGAGCGGGGAGGAATCAGAGCACCGTCAGACAAGAAGAGAAGGCTTCTCCGTGGGAGTCAGCAAAGCAGTTTATAAACGAGAGCTGCTTGGCTTCCGTCCACCATTTACAGAAATACCCAACGGAAGAACAGAAAATAGGAAAAGGGAGTAGAATTTTGTCCAAAATATTTTTGAGATTCAACCAAAGAAAATTCTTAAGGAAAAAAAAAAATCCTTTCAAGAGGGTATCTTAAGGCACACTGAACACCTCAGGAGCTTTCTCTTTCTCATTTCAAATAGTTCACTTCCATTTCGGAGACAGTGGGCCCTCTGTGAAGCTCCGGGTGGCAGGGCAGGCCTCGACTCCCTCAGCTAACTCCCTCCGACAAGCCACGCTGACCACAGGTCAGCCTTGCACACCACCTGTACCCACAGTCCGGGCACTGGGTTAACCCGAGGTCAGGAAATGTTCTACTCCCCCCTCTCTCTCTCTCTCTCACACACACACACACACCCTACATGCCTGTACATATGCATTACCTGGGACATATAGGCTGTAATAAATACATTAGGTCCTTTAGCACCCCACCACTGGTGCTCTTCAAACTCTGTAACAGCTGGAAAAGGGATCTATAAAACCTACAAAATCAGGGACCAGCATTTGGCATAATGGTTACATGGCTGCAACTGCATCGTAGTCAACTGCAGTTCAAGTCCCAGACCCGGTGGCATGTGCATTCATGCCCCAAACCCCGAGAGGAGAATGGAGAAGAAGGGATTGCAGAGTGGTCATTCCCCCGGGAGGTGATTTCTCACTTTCTCTCTCTCTCTGTCTCTCCAGTAAGCACATGTGTCCTATAGCAAATATCTCTCAAAAGCAAACAAACAAATAAACATCTACAAAATCAGCCAAAGAGAGATTTAAATCCCCTATGAACATTGCCTTCTGCTGTAAGAAACATGAATCTGGGGCCAGCTGGTGGCCTGGTAGTTAAGGCAGCCAGATCCCAATCCCATATGGTCACCCAACCAGTTCAAGTCCCGGACCCAGTGGCTTGAAAAACAAGCCAGGCGTGTGTGCATGAGCACTCGAAATCCCCAACAGAGGGAGAAGTGGAGGAGAAGGGATTATGGGATAATCATGCCCCTTGCGGGTGCTTTTTCCTCTCCTTCTGTCTCTCTCTGATGAGCACACACACTCTAGCAAAATTTTAAAAAGGAACTGCTCCTCTTGACCCACGTCTTTCTAAGTAGTTGGGGTGCCGAGCCTGGGCCACTGTAGTTTTATCAGTCTGAATATTCTATTGGGCCTTAACAGCATAGACCCGCGAACACGCCTGAGGTGGAAATCTTGAGTCTAGAGCTGGCGGAGAGTGGGCGGCAGCTTGGTTCCCAGCTGGCAAAACCGAGAGGGCAGCAGCGCCGGCTGCAGCCGAGGGCACCTGTACCTCTTAGGCCCGCAGAGGCTGCACACAGCTGGCCATCACTGCTGGAGGAAGGGCAGACTGGGGGAGTGTCCTGCCATACTCAGGGGACTCTGGATTCCAACAATGGCTTCCAGCTGGGTGCTGCTGGTGGTGAGTCAACGCCCCCACCCCTTCCTCCCCGCAGCCACAGTTCTGCCCCTCCGTCCCTGTCCCTGTGTCCCTGGACGCCTAAAGCCACCCCACGCCCTGCCTCCTCTGCCCTTCCCTCCCCCTCCATCCCATGCAAGCGCTCTAGGGCCATGTCTGCACCGCCTGCTCCAATTGGAAAGGCAACCAGAGCGCACTCCCTCTCCCCTGCGGACCGGCACTCTCACCACTCTCTCTGACATTTCTGTTGACTTCTGGGGCTCCACTTGATTTGGGTTCCAAGGCCTCTCATGCCACTCCTTCTCAAGTGTCCCCTGGCCTTCACTTAAGTCTCTGTCCTTTGACACGTGCTGGAAGCAGGGGTCTGAGTTGGGCTCTCTCTCTCTCGCCAAAAGACAAGACGGAAACAGGTCTCTGTCCCATGAACTGACACCCTCAATGACGCACTGGCAAGCAGGCTGCGACTAGCCAGAGAGGCTCTTTTTTATTTTTTTTAATTTTTTTTTTTTTGGAGAGGTTTTCCCTCTAGGGCACATGCGCTCACCAGAAAGACGGAGAGAGACAGAGAGATAGAAAGTGAGAAATCACTCCCCAGGGGGGATGGCCACGCCTCAATCCCTTCTCCTCCATTCTCCTCTTGGGCACGCACACACACAAGCCTGGCGTGAGTTTAAGCCACCGGGTCTGGGACTCGAACCGCGGACGACTACATGGGAGTCCAGCGACATAGCTATTATGCTAACTGCTGGTCCCTCCTAGCCAGAAAGGCTCTTAACTTTCCCTGTTCCCATTTCCAGCACGGGCTGTGCCTCCGGACGGCTCCACACCTTCCCCGCTTTGCTGGGTAAGCACATTTTTTTAAATGCTTGGACTCGTCAGTGCTCAGATAGATGAATCAGATCGGGAGGTTTCCAATGTCTGCTTCTGGAGGCGGCATTCCAAACGGCTGGGGTTTTTACTGTGGCCTGTGTCAAAGTGACATGGAAACTAAGACTGGAAACACGGCTGTGACAGCGGGGCGGGGGGCTCAGAGAACTCAGCAGATCTGAAGGGGAAGGCCTGCTTTAGACGGACTCCTGAAAGCTCACAGAACAAAACCAGTGCGGGGTTCACAGAAAGGGCTGGAAGCAGGCAGGGCCACAGTCTCGCACGGTGTCTGAACTCCATCTACAAAGCCTCCCTGAGGAGCCGGGTGGCAGTGGGAGCACTGCTCTGAAGTGATGGGCTCTGCGGCTGTCCTCGGTGCCAGCCTTCTGGGCCACCACTGGGCGGGGTTTCTGCCCAGCCGCCCCCCCCCATGCCCCCCCTACTCCAGCCAGCCAGGGCGGGGGTGGAGGCAGCCGGACCGCCTTTGCTACCTCCCGGCTCTGGTATCTGGCCCGGACGAACTAGCAAAGGCCAGGTACCACGGGGTGCTGCCATGCTCGGGAAGCCCTCAGGGCCCCACCGGCTGGCCCAGGACTGCAGCTGCCTCTCTCACGTCCCCAGGGAGCCACTGGGAGGCCTGCAGATGTGCACAGGCAGGTGGACGGGCACGTGGTCATCGCAAATGTGAACGCCACCTGCTGTTTCAACTGGTTCCTCTATTCAATAATTAACGAAGCTGACCATTAATGAGACGGCTCTGTTCTCTCCACTCACCCCTTCCCTCCGTGCCCTGGGCTGCGACCTCTCGGCTGTGCTGTTATTACCCCCCCAACACCCGGCCCTCTTCCTATCACACACCCTCTTCCCTCTGACCTTAACCAGAGCTTGCCCCCTCACCCCAACCAGGGCTCCACCTCCTTGATGCGCCCTGGAGTGGGAGCTTACCCAGAGAAGGCTTGGTGGCCCCACTCTCCAAGACTCTCCAGACAGCTCTTCCCCACCTGCCACCTGCTGCTTTAACTGGTTCTTTTACTTAATAGTTAATGAAGCTGGCCATTAATGGAGATGGCCCTGTTCCCTCTCCACCCACCCACTCAAGGCGCTGCCTGGCCCGAGTCTTGGCTCCATGGGCATGACGCTACCACGCACCAGCTCCGAGGCCTTGGTAGGTTATCGGGCCTCATGGTGCCTTGGTTCCTTAATCTGCGAAGCGGGAATGACACTGGTGTCCCTCTAACAGCTGTGGTGAGCCTCCAATAAACTCGAACATGTGAAATGCCCCGCACACAGTAGGTGAGCATACGGGCCAGCACTATCCTATTGCTGTGACCGGCACGCAGTAGGTGAGCAGTACGGGCCAGCGCTATCCTATGACTGTGACCGGCACGCAGTAGGTGAGCAGTACGGGCCAGCGCTATCCTATGACTGTGACCGGCACGCAGTAGGTGAGCAGTACAGGCCAGCGCTATCCTATGACTGTGACCGGCACGCAGTAGGTGAGCAGTACAGGCCAGCGCTATCCTATGACTATGACCGGCACGCAGTAGGTGAGCATACGGGCCAGCGCTGTACTGTTACCGTGACTGGTACGCAGTAGGTTACGGACCAGCTCTATCCTATGGCTGTGACCGGCACGCAGTAGGTGAGCAGTACGGGCCAGCTCTATCCTATGGCTGTGACCGGCACGCAGTAGGTGAGCATACGGGCCAGCGCTGTACTGTTACCGTGACTGGTACGCAGTAGGTGAGCAGTACGGGCCAGTGCTATCCTATGACTGTGACCGGCACGCAGTAGGTGGGCATACGGGCCAGCGCTATCCTGTTACCGTGACCGGCACTCAGTAGGTGAGTAGTACGGGCCAGCGCTATCCGATGACTGTGCCCGGCACACAGTAGGTGAGCATACGGGCCAGCGCTATCCTGTTACTGTGACCGGCACGCAGTAGGTGAGCAGTACGGGCCAGCACTATCCTGTCGCTGTCACTGGTACACAGTAGGTGAGCAGCATGGGTCAGTGCTGTCCTATCGCTGTCGCCGGCATGCTGTAGGCACGCAACACGGGTCAGGGCTATCCTATCACTGTCACGGCATCTGCGTGGGAGACTGCAAGGCGTGCAGTGTGGGCCACCATCTTGCTGTGGCCACAATGAGATGCTCCAGGGTCCCGCCGGGGATGCACAGTAGCTGTTCTCAGAAGCCTCCCCTCACCCTGTGAGACACACAGCCTCCCGGCCGTCAGCCGAAGGACCCCCACGCAGACCCCGGCTGCTGCAGGGGCACCAGCCCTGCCGTCTCCCTCTACCCGTCTGCCTCTCCTCCCTTGGTCTCCAGACTGAGCCCTCCTCTGGGTCTAGACGTGCAAGGGCGTGGCTGGATAAAGACCATCAGTGCCAGAGGGTCCCTCCTGCTTCCAGGAAGGATCGGACCCCACCTACCCACCTCGGGTCTGCAAGGCCAGCTTTCAGGAGGAGGCAAAGGGACCCTACACCCAGGGAGAATGACGGCAGGGAGGCGGGCACTGTCCGGGAACCAGACTTCCGGCGGGGAGGTGGGATGGGGTGGGGTGACCTGAGAGCCTGCTGACTTGACCTGAAATAGGGTGCTCTGCTCCCAGCTCAGTTCTCCTGAAGAGCAAGGGAAGATATTTAAAGGCCGACCGTGAGAGCATGCCACACGGAACTGGGACACACGCTGGAGGGACGAGCGACTCCAGGGGAAGGGACACGTGAGGGTCAGGAAATGCTGCGCCCCAGACCTGGGCTGACTGGGAAGGGGTGCAGGGGGAGGCCTGTGCTTAGTGGGGGCGGGAGGGTTGGGGACACCCGATAACTGTGGTCCTGGACTCAGGGCACGGCAGGGCATCTTTAGAAAGCCGGTGACCGGTGGCTTGTAAGGGGAAACAGACATTCGGATGTTTGGGCTTGCCTTCACGCTCACCGGCGCGCTCGCTCTGCAGAGAAAGCCCCACGGCCACTGGTGGCTGTCGCCTGAGGCGGCCTGTGAGAACATGGACCCTGGGTCTGCTTCTCCCAGGACCACAGGTCCCGCAGCAGCCCCACCTTAGGTGAAACAGACCTGGCCCTGGGCGGCAGCTGAGGGACTCCACGCCCACGCGGAGCCACGGTTAGGGCTCCTGAGGAAGGCATGGGCGTGCGACCCCCTTTGTGGCCCGAGGTTTTGTGAACAAGGAGAAGAAAGACGTTCTTAAATAGGCGAAAGCTCCCTCCTAGTATAAGAGACGGTGAGGACTTTGTCGCGTTCATCGGCACGCCACCCTGTCACTATTCTGCGGTTCTCTGAAGCCAGGTTACAGGGCTTTCTGACTTGGAGGACCTAAAGCACCCACCCAGAGCCATAAAGGGTTGCAGCGGCACTCAGAGCAGTCCTGATACCTCAAAAGGGACAGAGCCAGGTCACAAAGCCATGGTCTAAGCGCCCTGGCCTTGGAATATCACAGGCCTGGTTATCGCCAGAGAGGAGTGGCCCTTGGAAACCTCTGGATCGGTCCCAGTATTCCAGGAGCTTGGGGCTCAGCCCCCTGGATCCGGGATGCTCGGCAAGTGTTCCCACGGACCCTCCCAGGGTCCTTCCCCTCCGCCCCCACCTACCGAAGCCCGGAGTCCTGTTGGCCAGACTGGAGTAGGCGTTTCCGCTTGGCGAGGAGGTCGCTGGGCTGGAGAGAGGGCTGTAGGAGGAGGGGTCTGCCGGGTAGGTGTGGCTTGTCCCCATCCCAAAGGGAGACGACTGCGCCTTGCTGGACTGAGAAGGAATGTGCTACCATCAGGACTCAGCAGCGAGAGGGGAAGCCGGCCGACGCCTGCCCCCGGCCCAGACGAGCCCAAGAACTGCAGGATTCAGGCCCAGGCGGCCGGTGCAGGTGTGGTGACGTCACCCCCCAGGGCTACGGTGCCTTCCAGCTGCAGAGGCCTCTGCGGTGAACACCGAGAGTCCCCTCTGCCCCATCAGCAGCCGTCCTCAGTGACGGGAGGGAGCTGGGCGTGTCGGAGGGCTGGGTGTTGCCATGTCCTCCTGGGGCAGGAGCACCCAGAGGTGCAGGGAGAGGGAGCTCATCCCCGACGAAGCATTTCAACGTGTCAGCTGCCCCCAGGCAAGGCTGCGAGAACAGCAGGTGAAATCAGACGGGTGCAAAGGTGGGGACCCCGCTCTCCAAGTGCCTGAGCTGCAGTTGGGGTGGCTGGCTCTAGCTAGGAGTGCTGACCCGTCCTCAGAGCTGGGATCCCAGAAAGACGACGCCTGCCCCCGGCCCAGACGAGCCCAAGAACTGCAGGATTCAGGCCCAGGCGGCCGGTGCAGGTGTGGTGACGTCACCCCCCAGGGCTACGGTGCCTTCCAGCTGCAGAGGCCTCTGCGGTGAACACCGAGAGTCCCCTCTGCCCCATCAGCAGCCGTCCTCAGTGACGGGAGGGAGCTGGGCGTGTCGGAGGGCTGGGTGTTGCCATGTCCTCCTGGGGCAGGAGCACCCAGAGGTGCAGGGAGAGGGAGCTCATCCCCGACGAAGCATTTCAACGTGTCAGCTGCCCCCAGGCAAGGCTGCGAGAACAGCAGGTGAAATCAGACGGGTGCAAAGGTGGGGACCCCGCTCTCCAAGTGCCTGAGCTGCAGTTGGGGTGGCTGGCTCTAGCTAGGAGTGCTGACCCGTCCTCAGAGCTGGGATCCCAGAAAGAACCCCCACCCCGGGTGCCCTCATGGCACTGGGGCAGTGCCCCAGACGTCCGTCCCTGTCCCGGGAAGGGCGGCCGGCTTCCTGTCCATGCCACCTGGCCCTGGTTTAGCTGCCGGGAGATCTGGGACATGCTCTGGCCCGTTGAGGAGGAGGACTGAATATCGTTCACGCCCGGCACGTGGACCACGGAAGAGCTAGAAAGAAGGACACAGCCGGCCGTGTGAGTCCCTGCCCCAGCCCGCCAGCCACCGTCTCCCTCAGGGCTTCCTCTAACCTCCGCGGGGTCGAGCATTCTGGTGTGTTTTCCGGCCTCTCCTCGGCCCTCACCAGATCCTGTCCGTTTCAGCTCCCACAAAGAGAAGCACTTCCAAGGATAAAAACGAGCCCGGGTGCTGGCCTGCCCCATGTGCTCTGGCTAATTTGTCCCTCCAGGGCACCTGTGGGGCTGATGGGTTCGGGGAGCAGGCTGTGTGCCACACTCGGTTTTCAACCAAAAGAAAAGCCGTCAGCGGAAACCTGCAGGATGGGGCTCGGCCCCTGCCCAGAACACACGACTGTGCACCCCGTTGCCCTCGGCCCACCCGCAGATCACCTCGCTGCGTCTTTCCCGGGCCCCTGCTGAGTGGCACACTGCGCCTGGCGCTCTCTGTTGGCTGAGGCCGGGCTGGCTCTGACCCTGGCCCACTTCCCGGAGGGCACCGTTGGTGCCACTAAGCAGTTCTGCCAGGAGATTTTCCCAGCACTGCTCACTATACCATGAGCTCCTGGAGGACCGAAAGGTGGGGGCAGACCTTCGATCTGTCTCAGGCCCTTCCTCCCGCCCTCCTGTGACAAGCTCGGCATCCAGGGCTGGGTGCTGGGTGCCCACGAGCCGACCAAGCCTGCTGGACCGGGCCTGATCACAGTGGGCTTTGGTGGAGGTGGGTTTTCTGGCGGGTTGTGAAAAAGACAGGCTCCAGACCAGTAGAGAGGACTGGATACGCACTCACTAATTGGAGTCTGCTTCCCTTTTATGCTCTCTAGTCCCTTAAACGGGCAGAGATTGAGCCCACGGCCTAGATGTTTAGTGAGCCAGATCCCACATGGCTTAACTGGGCCGTTAAAGTCCGGCTCCGGCAGCTTCAAAAACACACCAGGCACATGTGCATGCACGCCCCAGATCCTGAGCAGATGGAGAAACAGGGGAGAAGGGATCGTCGTGTGACCACATCCTCCCTCTCTGTCTCTCTCCGGTGAGCACACGCACCCTCCAGGAACAACTTTCTCTTAGTGGGGAGAAACAGAACGGCAGAGACGTTCCACTGTCAGCCATCACGTCCACTTGCTCCTGTGGAGTGGACGCCATTCCATCGTACGAAAATCAGTTCTTCTCTTAACACAGGGACTTCTTCCCCTTCCTCCTGTGTGGTGCACACACACCCTCAGAGGAGCTGCTGATCACCACTGTCTCTGGGGGTCTCCCCTGCACCCCCCGGCACCTCCCCGGGATGCAGATTAGTGAGGGCATGTGGGAGCACTGCAGGCCCTAGGAGAGGCCCTGGCTGAAGGGCTCCGTGGGGCAGAGTGCTGGCCCCGGCTGCAGCTGCCTGTCTCGGGACACACAGGCAGGGCCGAGGGCATCCTAGGGGGCCAGCAATGCCATCCTGTCAGAGGCTCGATGCTACTCGGGGCTACTGGGACCACCAGGTGCCGGAGTCTCACCCCCCCCACGCCCCCCCCCCCGGCCCCTGGGCCCCGGAGCCAGCTTAGGCCCGGTAGGTATATAAGAAACCCTGCCCGTTCTGTAGGCTCCAGTCCCCACAGGGGTCCTCTCTTCATTTCCCCATTCATTTTGGGGACCAGTGCTTAGCAGGCATCTTCCGTACGCCAGGCTCCTCACAAGTGCTTGGGTGCACGGTGGCTCCTTCCTCCACTCCCCCTGCCCACCTGCCTTTCCTTCTTAGTCACTGCCCTCCAACACACGCTGTCCTTTCATGTCTGTGACAGCCGCAGCCGCGCCCCACCTGCAC